TAATAACAATAACAATAACAATAATAATAATAACAATAATAATAACAATAATAATAATAATAATAATGTTATGCAGCACAACACACGGAAACATCAGCATAATCACAAACATGTCAAAACGAAAAAAATATGTCTTATTCTAAATTTGTAGTGCTGTATACTATATCAAACAGAATGTTGGCTCTGCAGCTACTTCAGGCTCCATACAGTTATATGCCATCAGTGCTGTGCAGAGCATTGTTGTTAAACTGCAGAAAATAGACTTAAAGCATAAAATATATTTGGACAGATAGAAGATGGTGAAAAAAAACACAAATCACTAAAAAGTGGGAATAATTTAAAAAGTATACAGAGCCCGCGAGGGGACATGGGATTTTTTTTTCTTTTGCGTTACCTCGCAATACTTTTGCGTTCCCTCGCAAAAGTAGTTTATCACTGTTGTGCCTGCCGGTTTATTAGCAAACTCACATGTTCACCATTAGCGAGTTAGCCTACTGCTTTAATTCAGCTTCAGAATGAATATATCACACAGCCACGCATGGAAGTATGTCATATGCCAATATTTTAACACAGTGCAGCGACGCAACCTCAATGTCAATTTCACGAACGTGTGGCGACACATCCTGTTTTGGTATCTGGATATTTTAAAATAAAACTCTGATTTAATTCAGTTCATATACAAAACAATATTTTGCGTGGGAACGCAAAAGTATTGCGAAGGAACGCAAAAGGAAAAATAATCCCTCCGTGTCCCATCGTGGGCTCCGTAAAAAAACATGTACAAAATATCTCAAATACAAAAGCATTAGACTTGTGTTTTTGCACACTTTACAGCCTTTAGATGAGTGACAAGTTATATGAAAAAAAAAGTTTAAATTGATTACCATAATGCATTCAGCTGTAATGTTATACATTTTTTTCTCACACTTTTCATAGACTACGATCTTATCAAAGGGTTAGCTCGTCTCATGGGAAACTGGGTCTTAACAGGAGCCCAGCTTTATCTCATCACTTTAATTAACATCCTTATCTACTTTTATTTTACTTCCAATTTGAAGATGAAGCCAATTATTTACAAACAATTAAGCCCTGCGTTATTCACTCAACACAGCAAAATATTCAGTCTTAACACAGCAAACTGCTTTAAACTCTGATTTAAACAATTAACTTCTACTTTGAGTTAATGCTTTAGATAATTACAGTACGAATATTTGTTTCAATTTAATTATGCGCAGCAGTTAAAAGTGGGTGAGAACTCTCTCTTGCACTACATCTCCTTTTATCATCTTAGTTTCTGCTCACTGGAAAAGCCTTTCCTTTCCTCCTTATTCTTGCTTCAACGTGTAACATCAGCTCTTCCCCCTCTGATTGTTCCAACATCTTCAGCCATATTATTAAGACCTCTATAGCCCAAGAGATTTATCTCCCCCACCCACAGAAAACACTTCTAATGAACTGCCTGACATGTCTCTTTGAGTCCTGGCTCCCTTTACTTTACTTGTCTGCATTATTATTTAACACATCTGTTCAATGGCCAGCTTGTAGCTAGTTCAGCAGGTCTTTAATCACAGCTAGACTGAATTAAAGACCGCACCGCATGCTGCGACTACTTCAGCAGAAACACTTCTGACACCCATTGGTTTCTTTTTAAATTAGATAAGCAAAATTAAACCACTTGTAAGAAAAAATAAAAATAAGCAGCCAAATTGATTCATCCTTTCAGTAGATTTGATTTGCAGTTGAAGTTTAGGCTCAACTTTTAAAAACTCAGACAATACGAAACCGCAACTAATTTTAAAGGTCTAGTACCCTTAATGTTTAAATAGAATCATTGCTACAAGCAATTTCTTTATCACAGATTTCACAAGTGTAAAAGTGAATCCTATTAAATCTTCTTCAGCTTACTAGAATATGCCAAATTCATCCTCCTGAGTAAAAAAGAAAAAAATTGTATAGGTCTTCTGGACGGGTTCTTCTCTAATGAAACGTTTCGTCTCTCTTCCAAGAGACGTCTTCAGTCTGAGAGTTTCAGGCAAAATTCAGGCTTTTAAGCCCAGCCTCCGTGTGACTGATACTCACATCACATGGCTATTGTTGACACCTAATATAAGTGTTAATTAGGTGTCAACGATAGCC